ATCTGAATTTTTGCGTTCTTTGATGTCTTTGTTGTTACTTTACATATTAGCTACCTTTCATACTTTTTTTACTTACCAACAAAAAAAATGATGATAGTGAAAAAAAAATAATTATAGTATAATAATAGCAGTATTAAAGAAAATACTAAGAAAAATAACTAATTTACAAAGGAAATCTGAAATTTAATAGAATAATATCATTTTTTTGTCGTGAATTTCCTCATTACGTCAATAATTTTTTGTTATTATAGTAGAACTAGAAAAAATATATTGTGTGATTTATTATAACAGGTGAGTAATTCGAACGTGTTTACAACTAGTTAGAATCTAGAATAAAATAAAATTAACAAGAGAGATGAGACAATTTGTGACAAAGGGGGAGAAAAATAGATTGAAATTCTAATTTTTAAATAAATGCATTTAGGGTGGTATACAATAATTTAAATTGTAATATATTAAATTTTTTATGGGTGAAGTGTTGTGCAAATCATATGTTACCTTAAGTTGATCAAGTGGATAAAAAAAATAGAGATTTTATTTTTAAATTTTTATTATTTTTTAGTCGATGTTTTGTATGTCAATAATTTAATTTTTTCTTTTTCACACTTAAACAAATAAGCAATGTCAACTTTTCTATCAAGTTATGGATGTAATTTTCTAACACTTATAAATTTTTTTAAAGAAAACGAAATTTGAATAGATTTCTATTTTTATTTTTTTAGTATTTACCTTTTATTGTTATAATTAATGGTATTGGTAAATATTAAATTTGGAAACTAGAAATAGTGATAGTGGTTTTGTATTAAAAATAAATCATATAAGTGGGTTTAGAACGTGACCATTAGATTTAATCTAATGGTCACTATTGAAAGTGCGGAAGAATTTTTCTTGCTCGCCGTGGAGCAAAAGATCACACTACTCATATAATGATAGTAATTGATGAGGAAAAACTCTAAATGAAGTTAAACGGATGGATAAGGTGATGAGGTGATAGATGTCGTTAACAACATAAATTCAAAAGGTAGTTCTGATATGATAAATACGAAATTCAAATTATCGACAAAGGCTCTTCTTGAAAATTGCAACAAACTCCCAGCTTGGTTGACTATTAAACTCTTATCAACCAATGAGGTACGGGCAATATTGAACTCCAATCATGAATTGTTTATTTTTATTTTGTAAACTGACTTAGCCATCGGAGCTGGTTTGGCAGGCACCATACCGGTGTCAAGAGAAAAACGCTGTCATTTCGGATCGTTGCAGGCTAATCTTCATCAGTTGGCGCCGTCTGTGGGAACTTGGAATAGTTCTTTTTAAAAAGGATTATGGTTTTATGATCCGGATTGGAGCGCGGTGAGGGACCATTGTTGTAGGCCTCTGGTAAGGAGGAAGTGCAGTGGGAACCCCCTCACATCCCAAATAACCTAGAGCGCGTTACAGCATTGGAACAGCAAATTCAAACCCTGAATCAGGGAATGAATGAGCTGATCCGGCAAAATACGATGATCCTACAACGTTTTGTTCCTCCAGACCCACCTCAAGAGCAAGGGCATCACCATAACGAAATCCTACCTCAAGATCAGCCTAACCTAAATGCTAAAGAGGGAAATCATGAGGTACAAGGCAACGAGCCTTCCCATTAGGAAGTTCTTGTAGAGCATAGCCAAATTGCTGATTTGCATAGGGTGGCGGGTCATCCATCTCCCCCACGTAGCTCTAGGCCATTGACCTCGACCTATGTTGATGAACGGACCCAAGAGGTTACCCACATCGACCAACAAATCCAGAACCTCAATGCCAAGATGGAAGATGTGATGCAAGCTATGAAGGGAAAAGGCTCCGCTACCACCATAGACGACCTTGTTCAAAAAACAAATTTGCCATTTAGCCCGACTATCATGAGATGTCCATTGCCTAGCAAGTTCAAGATGCCAACACTTGAAAGCTTTGATGGGACTCGTGATCCTCTTGATCACCTGGAGACTTTATGATACCCTCGGATTCCCGAATGCGGGTTAGCCAGGCCCACGCCCGAATACCCGAGGATATCAAAAACAAAATCGGCAATAAACGAACACAAAGTATGAAAGAATAAAGAAGAATAAATAAAATGTTGACAAGAAACTAAAATGATAATCTAATAATAAACCTCAAAATATATTTTCATTAATTAATAAACTCTTCTGATACAACTGATCCTCCAAAATACAACTCGGGAATCCATACTATGTGGACCCCTAGAAAATCCAAACTAAACAAATGACAGCAATAACTGTCTAAATCAGGAAATTGAATCATAAAGGAACTCCTATGTAGTATCAGAAAAATGAAGTATACTGATCCCCACTCAGCACGAACAACCTCTACTCCTGACGAACACCTGAAAAATAATGGTGGGTCAGGCCCATAAACAAGTTCTACTCTACTACAGTCCAAACAGAGATCCGATACACGTATACATCCTAGTCAATCTAACAGTAACTAGTAGTTCGTATATATATATACACACATTAAAGGAACCTCACTAAACTATAGGGTTGTCTCAACCTGAATAGTAAGCAACATACAAAACACACATATAGTGGGCATGAGTACCTAGACCTACCAGGGTACACAACTATGCTATATCTAACTACACATCCCTAGCGATATACGCACCCTAACCATTGATCCTGAAACTCAAGCTCATATCAAGGCACCATACTTATATATATATAATCTAGTATCCATCATATTCAATATAAATTAATCCTCCATAAGTCATTCAACTTGTTCAGCTGACCTGTCTTGAATATAAGTAGGACTTAACATTTTAATTAATCCATTCCCTTATATACTAAATTAATCCTCCATAAGTCATTCAACTTGTTCAACTGACCTAACTTGAATATAAGTAGGACTTAACATTTTAGTTAATCCATTTCCTTATATAAAATAGGTAGGACTTAACTGATAAGTTAATCCGTCCCTAGAATGCCACCGTCCCATACCGGTGCATTAAACCACACAATCCAACAATTAATGTAATGATTAAGGAAATACATCAAACAATCCAGAAATAACTATGATAATATAATATCAAGTTATCACAAAATATGAATGACTTATTATTTATTTAAACTTCCTGTATCATATGTCCTACATAAACTAAATCTTATATATATGATGATATTTTATTATACCATCAAATAAGCATTCTCTATATCCAATTCATCCTACACATTTAATCTCAATTGCTAAAACATATTAAAAGATTAAATTCATTCGTTTGTTTAAAACATTCAAATAGCGAGCATCATTATGATTGAGTCTATTTAAATTTATTTAAACCCAAACCTAGTTCATATTTAATGTTCAGGAATCTTAGGCATGTTTCTACGTTCCATCATTTCACAGATATGAAAAATACGTGATTTAAACATATAAAAATTCACACCGGAAATCAAATCAAAATCATGCATAATTATTTAATTTTATGTGTTTAATAAATCCTGGAATTTCCTAGGCATGTATAGAAACACGAATCAAAGGGAAAGAGATAGAAGAAGAACTTGCCTTAAACTTTCGGATCAAAAGTTAAATTTCTTCTTCCTTGATCTTCTTTCTACAGGGTTTTTTTCCTCATTCCTTCATTTTCCTCCTTCCCTCTCTAATTCTCTCTCTCTAGAATATATCACGTGAATATATCTAGCTCCCTTTTACAACCTATAGTTATATATTTATAGATTAAATAAAATAACCCTAACCCTTTTTCCAATCCAAGTCAACTTAAAAAAAATAAATATTAAAATATTAAAAGGCAAGTAAAATATGTTATGTATATAATTTATGTATATCTTTATTAAATAAATAAATTATACACATCCCATTATTTATTAATGGATTATCCAATAATACTTAAGTTATCATAATATTATAAAGTAACTTAAAACATAACACGTATCAAATTTATGTATATTTTTATTATTTAAATATTAAACATATACATCAAATTAAATATTACTACCCAAGTTACCATAAAAGTAATTAATAAATTAGTTTTCCTTTTATATATATGAAAAAGGAAAGTAAAATATGTTACGTATATAATTAATGTATATGTTTATTAAATAAAAAAATTATACACATTCCATTATTTATTAATGGATTATTCAATAATACTTAACTTACCATAATATTATAAGGTAACTTAAAACATAACACGTATCAAATCTATATATATTTTTATTATTTAAATATAAAACAAATACTTCAGATTAAATATTACTACCCAAATTACCATAAAAGTAATTAATAAATTACTTTCCTTTTTTATATATGTATATAATATATATATATATATATATATATATATATATCTATATATATACACAACTATCCATGGGTAATAATCCATTCACATCCAATCTCCTATCCAAGTAGTCTATGGGACCCAATTGGTTGGCCCATTACTACTAACCATAACCATAAAAGAAAAATAAAATGAAATAATAAAAGAAAATAAAATATTTAATTTACAATTAATCAAAACACCATTTAAGCACATAATCTAATTAAACAATTAACACATAGACAAATACAAATAATACATAGACACATAATCAAATAGTCAAGTAATACCTAATTCAATTAAACACATAAGCAATTAGTCAAATAATCAATTAAATAATTAACAATACAATTAAAATAAATAAATAAATACCGAGACTATCCTTTTAAAATTAGGAGTATTACAGACTTTTCAGGCACTTATGCATCTCCAAGCTGTACCAAACCAGATAATGTGTCGGGCCTTTCCCACTACTCTCAAAGGGTCGGCACGAGTCTGGTTTAATAAATTAAAACCATGCTCGATCGAAACCTTTGCAGAGTTGAGCAAGGGATTTGTAAGTCATTTCATTATAGGTCAAAGGCATAGGAGGCCGGCCACTCACCTGCTCACCGTGAAACAACAGAAGGGAGAACCATTACGGGAGTATATCAATCGGTACAACATTGAAATGCTGCAGGTGGATGAAGCTGATGATAAGGTAGCACTTACCGTTTTCATGGGAGGACTGCATACATCTAGATTTCTTTTTTCCTTGTCAAAGGAACCTCCAACCAATATGGCAGAATTACTGGTCAGAGCCAGGAAACACATGAATGCGGAGGATGCGATGAGTGCGCGAAAGGGGAAAGAAGGAGAAGATAAAAAGGCGAATAAAAAGAGACCACTGCCTGGTGCCAAGGACGAGAAGGAGACCAAATTCAAAAAGTCTTCATCAATTAAAGTGAAAGGACATCTCGTTACAGGAGCTCAGATAAGTACACCAACTACACCACGCTCATTATATCTATAGATCAGGTTTTAATGCAGATTCAGGATGATCCCTCCCTGAAGTGGCCATCGAAGTGAAATCTGATCCCTCAAGAAGGCCTCGAGACAAATATTGCAGGTTCCATAGAGATAATGGGCATATCACGGAGGATTGTATCGACTTAAAAGATCAGATTGAGAATTTGATTCGAAGGGGTCACCAACAAAGGTTCATGGCAGGAGATGATAGACAAGGTACTAATCCCGCAAAAAGGAGGCGGGACAATCATCCACCAAAACAACAACCAGTAGGTGAGATCAGAGTCATATCCGGAGGGTATACAGGAGGAGGTGAAATAGCCACGGCCCGAAAAACTTACACAAGAAGAGCAAGAACAGAGATGAATGAGGTAGGAATGTTCAACGCTCTATCAAAAACACTAAGGTATGCTGATACTACCATTATGTTTTCAGAGGCTGATGCCAAAGGGAACCAGCAACCCCATGATGATCCTCTGGTTGTCTTTATAGTCATAGCTAACTACACCATAAGGCGTATACTTATTGACAATGGGAGTTTAGCTGATATAATATTTTCTCATGTATTCGACCAAATGATGATAGGCCGGGAAAGGTTACTGTGACACCCCCAACATTTTCCACGCATAAGTTGATCAGGCTTATACACGAAAACGAGGGATATCAAAAACAATTGGCAATATACAAGCATGGAATACAAAATGATAATAATAAAAGAATTTAGACAGGAAAGGAACACTAAATAATAAAATATCCATCCATCCTTTATTTAATACAGTACTCCGTTACAACTTGGAAATCCTATGTCAAGGATCCCTAAATATAAATCCTGAGAGTTCAACGTCTACCCTGAACTGAAACTGAAGTAATACATAAAACTTCTACCCTGAACTGGATCGTAAGAGTGGATGAATTCGGATGGTGGTCCCACACTGCTAGCCTCAACCTTGGAACGGGTACTGACCGTATCCTGAAATAACAACAATGGTGGGTCAACCCCACGAGCAAGTCCTCTCTACTATGACCCAAATCAGAGAATTAAATAAATTAATCATTTATATCCGGATGAGTACTCTATCTGTATACATCCTAATGGAACTATCCAATGTATAACATGACCTCAATCAGAATAGACGGTGATCACTTAGACTCACGCTAGGTGGTTAAGTGTCGCCTTTCCCTACCCGGGAAATCAGCTATTATACATGGTGCACGGTACTGACAACACAGACTGTAAAGAACTACACAGTGATAACACATCTCAATGTACTAATGAATATACTGAGCATATCAAATAGGCAACACATGCCAATAATATGAATAAATATACTGAGTATGTCAATTAGGCAATACATGCCAATAATATTAAACCACATACCCCGACAGCCACACATCTGTCTATCGCAACGAATGCATAAGGTATAAATAAGTCTCAACTTATTAGCCAGCTCACATGGTTCTATAGGGCAACACATCCATATAATATAAATGTGACATAATTTAAACAGTCCATTTATTCTCTGAAATGCACACAGCATAATAATCATGGTTTATATATGATTAACAGTATAAACATCCCATAATATAAAATGGATAATTTATATGACTAAAACCATGGCATTATTTAATTTAAAAGTAATGATTAATACCATTTAATAAAATAATAACACCATCTATATTTAACAATGTCATTAAATGAATCACAGTCATATCCGTACTGGAACGCGCCAATAAATGTTTAGAACAGATTAATCGGCCATAATAATACTTAACGGGTAATAAAATAATAATTTCGTGGCCCGTTAAACCCGTAACTACCAACACAGGCCCTAAAACTCCAAGTTTAAGGTTCTGGAATTGACAATACAGGCCCTAGGGGTATTCTGGAAATTTTTAGCAGCTGACAGGGCCCCTCACGTGCCCCCACGCGCCGCCCTAAGATCCCCCACGCGCAGCCCAACCTTCCCCACTCTCCCACGCGCCTCCACGCGCGTCTGGCATTAGCCACGCGCCCGCACGCTCTCCCACGCGCGCGTTTAAGTCTCCTGCAGACGTGGCACCTCCTGGTTGGTTGGCTGTATTGACTTGCTGTGGGTGCGCTACACAGGATCACTTCATCTCATCTCACCTAATCCAAGGGTCAATGATCCGGGTGTACCGCGATAACATGGACCGCGATGCACCGGATCAATCAGATTCATCTAAGGCCCAGGATGCGCGCGCACGCTACCCTAAAGTACGCCGCATCACACCGGATCACTCCGGTCATCTCCCCCACATCCGGTAGCCAGAAACCTCGCCGGAGTCTCGCCGGAAATTGCAGAAAAGCCCCGGAAAAATCTAGAAAATTCTAAAAAAATCCCTAAAGACTTATTTAATTATTTTCAGCCTTTAATAATTTCATAGGATAATAAATAAATATATACCATCCCATAAAATTAAAATTTCATTAATTTAATAAACTAAAATTAATAATTTATTAACCTCCTAACCTGGTCTCTATGCATATAAATAAACTAAACAATTAATTTATTAATTCAAAGGGGAAAAGTAGATAATAACTTGCCTTTAGGATTTAAAATAAATCCGCCGGTTGCGCGTAATCGGGTAAAATCGCCTACACCGGTACAGGCTCCCTTCTTTCTCTCTCTTCCTTTCACTCTTATCAAGTAACTCACAATTACTTATTTCTCTTCTTCCTCCGTGAATCCTCAACCCAAAGATAGCTAACTTCTATATATAACTAATTTATATAATTTAAATATTACAAATATCTACTTATCATTACTTCCTTAACCTCCCCATCCTCTCACCTATAATCCATTAAGCCTAATGCCCCAAAGTCCTCTATTTCACATAAATGAAAGTTTCATTTCAAACATACATCATGACTTTGGCTTAATAATATTATTATTATTATTTCCACAATATTATTATATTATTATTATATTCTAATTATTATTATATTATTATTATTCTTATATTCTAATTTTTTTTTATAAAACATAATCCATAAAATATAAATACTAACCTTAGGATAGGTAGAGCACATAAAAACGTAATATACAGAGCACGATAAAATATTATTTTATTATTTATTATTCTTACTTTATATTATTATAAAACACAAATAAATAAAATATAAAAATTAGCATTATAATACGTAGTGCACATAATCAACATTTCACGCACAAATAATTAATTTAATAATCTAACATTAAAAGATGAATAAACCTACACATTATAATATTAATTTAAATAATCACTTCCAAAAATACGGGGTATTACAGTTACGACCCATGAATTCTCCTCCCGTGGGGTTTTCAGGAGATAAGGTGTATCCATTGGGAGCAGCTACCCTTCTAGTGACTGCAGGAACCAGCCCAAAGCAGGTCACTTTTATGGTTGATTTTATAGTGGTGGATTGCCCTTCAGCGTATAATGTTATTCTTGGGAGGACAACTTAAACTCTATTAGAGCCATTACTTCAACTTACCACCTCCTCATGCGTTTCCCGATAGAGCATGGGGTGGGTAAGTTGAGGGGTGACCAAACCACCGCTCGTGAATGCTATCTCACTTCTTTCAGAGAAAAGATGTCCTAGGAAACTATGATAATTGAAGGGTTAGAGGTAAGAGACCAGGAGAAGGTAGAAAAGCAGAAAGTTCGACAAGCCGAACCGATGGAAGACCTACTAGAGGTGAGCTTTGATGATAAGGCCAAGAAGAAAGTGAGCATATGATCCTTGCTTCAACCTGGCATAAAGGGTGAACTCATTCAATTTCTTAAGCAAAACCAGGATGTGTTCGCTTGGACTCACGAGGACATGCCCGGCATAAGTCCGGTCATAATACAACATCATTTGAATGTTCATCCCAGCTTTAAACCCATCAGACATAAAAGAATGACATTCGCCTCTAAACGAAACCAGGCTATATCAGAAGAGGTGGAGAAACTCTTGAGAGCTCACTTTATTCAAGAGGTACATTATCCTGACTAGTTGTCAAATGTGGTCCTTGTAAAGAAAGCCAATGGGAAGTAGAGATTATGCGTAGACTTTACAAAGTTGAACAAGGCCTACCCAAAAGATAGCTTTCCTCTCCCACGTATTGATATGCTAATGGAGGGAACTGCGGGACATGAATTGATGAGCTTCATGGATGCATACTCCGGATATAACCAGATTCCAATGTACCAACCAGACATAGAAAAAACCTCATTTATTACTGATCGGGGTTTGTATTGTTATAGGGTCATGCCATTTGGGTTAAAAAAATGCAAGAGCAATATACCAAAGGTTAGTCAACATGATGTTCAAACAGCAAATCAGACTGAACATGGAAGTCTATATGGACAACATGCTAGTGAAAAGTTGGAAGACTGAAGATCACCTGGCAGACCTACAGGAAACCTTCAAACTGTTGAGGAAGCATAAGATGAAACTCAACCCCAGCAAGTGTGCTTTCGGAGTTGCCTCAGGGAAATTTCTTCGGTATATGGTGAGCAGAAGAGGAATAGAGGCTAATCCAGAAAAGATCCAAGTTGTTCTAGATATGAGGTCACCCAAATCCACGAAGGATCTCCAGCGACTCACAGGGAATGTAATACCCCTAATTTTAAAAAGGATAGTCTCGGCAGTTTACTTTTTATTTCATTATATTGTTGTGTGTCTTTTTGCTTATTTGGTAATTGTTTCGTTGTTTTAATAATTAATTATTTGATTTAATTGTTTAATTGGGCGTTTAAATTTTATTTATTTGTTTTAATGGTTTAATAATTAATTATTTGATTTAATTATTTAATTGGGTGTTTAAATTTTATTTATTTGTTTTAATGGTTTAAATACGTGTTAGATTGCATTAATTGATTTGCGTTAGTGAGTATTAATTTTGGGTGTATTAGTTTAACTAATTATGTTAAGAGATTTATTTATGTAATTAGATTAAATTAGTAACAATGTTTAATGTATTAAATTAGATTCATTTATTTGTTTTAATGGTTTAAATATGTGTTAGATTGCATTAATTGATTTAAGTTAGTGAGTATTAATTTTGGGTGTATTAGTTTAACTAATTACGTTAAGAGATTTATTTATGTAATTAGATTAAATTAGTAACAATATTTCATGTATTAAATTAGATTCATTTGTTTGTTTTAATGGTTTAAATATGTGTTAGATTGCATTAATTGATTTACGTTAGTGAGTATTAATTTTGGATGTATTAGTTTAACTACTTATGTTAAGAGATTTATTTATGTAATTAGATTAAATTTGTAACAATGTTTAATGTATTAAACTACTTGTTAACAAGGGTTTAATTAAACAGTAGGGTTCTCTAAGAAGGTTTGTATAGTAAGCCGCCGTATGTTACAATTTAGATAGTTTCATGGGCCGGCTAGGATTGGAATTAGGGCTCAGTCTCTAATATTACATGGGTTAAGGTTATCGTTTTTCACCTATAAATACAAGCAATACGGTGGTTTAGGGTTTTAGAAAAATAAGCCAAATTCTGTAAAACAGAGAGACCATGAGATACAAAGAATTATAGAGGGATATAAAGAGAGGAAGACTAGGGTTTGGGCTTAGACTAAGACTGAATCAAGGAGGGGAGTTTGGTGTGTGCTACTGGACTAAACTAGGAGCAGCAAAGGTCGTTTAATACAACCGACGTTGCCGGAGTTGATAGAGACGACAGTCAGAGATTTTAATCCAAAGTCTCAAAGGCAAGTTTATGTTCTATTCTTTCCTATGAATCTGTGTTATGTGCATACTTAGGTGGACTCCAGGGATTCAATGAAGGATTAAATACTCTGTTATGCATGTCTGATAGGTATTTAATCCCGTTTACTGAAACCGTGTTGTTAATAAGTATGGTGAATTAATTATATATAACTATACTTAGTTTTGGATTTAATTGATACTCAAATTGTTATAAGTGTATGTATTTAATCCCGTTTACTGAAACTGTGTTGTTAATAAGTATAGTGAATTAATTATATATAATTATACTTAGTTTTGGATTTAATTGATAATCAAATTGTTATAAGTGTATGTATTTAATCTCGTTTACTGAAACTGTGTTGTTAATAAGTATGGTGAATTAATTATATATAACTATACTTAGTTTTGGATTTAATTGATACTCAAATTGTTATAATTGTATATATTTAATCTCGTTTACTGAAACTGTGTTGTTAATAAGTATGGTGAATTAATTATATATAACTATACTTAGTTTTGGATTTAATTGATACCCAAATTGTTATAATTGTATCGATTTATTGTTTATTTTGGAGGATGTGAACGCTATGATTTATTTTAGCAGTCTAAATAATTGGAGCATGATTTCTAGGTTCTCTAGGGAATACCTAATATCATTATATATGTATTAAACTGTACTGATGCATATTTTGGGGAACTGTTGATAAATTAATTAATGTTATTTTTATCAAATTATGTGGATTGGAGGACTGTATGCACCGGTATGGAACGGTGGCATACTAGGGATGGATTAGTTCAAATACTAAGTCCTACTTAAAGTGGATTAAGGTGTGGATTAACCGTAAAGGTTAAGTCCAACTCCTATTAGTGTCAGGTCAGTAAATAACTGAATGACATAATTTTGGTTTCTAGGATGGATTGTTATACATATATCAAATCTCTATACTGGATGGGTGATATTTTGTATTAGGAGGACACGAACTTTATATATATATATATATGATATGGTACCATGGTATGAGCTTGAGTCTCAGGACCACAGTTAGGGCGCGTATATCGCCTAGGATGGATAACTGGACATAGGTGTTGTTCCCTGGTAGGTCTAGGTACTCATAACCACTTTACGTGCAATTTGCATGGTATCTCTACTCAGGCTGAGACAGACCTATTGGACTAGTGAGCGTCCTATAGTGTGTATTTATACATATATGGACTACTCTAGATATTGTTGAGTCTATCTAGGATGTATCTGCGTATTGGATTCCTGTTTGGATCGTAGTAGATCAGGACTTGCATATGGGTCTAACCCACTCTTTTATTTTTCAGGTACTCGTCAGTTCCAGGGTTAAAGTTTGATCGTGCAGAGCAGATACAGACTTCTATTCCACCGACTACGTAGGACTGCTTCCTTATTAGCTTTGTTTGATTTCAGCTATTTTATTTATGTTGGGATTTGTTATTAGGGGTCCACTAGATGGATTCCCGAATTGTAAAATAATTGGAGGTTTTGGAGTTTGGTTCTTAATAATTATATTTTGAGAATTTTCATTAGAATTCATTTCAACCATTTTTACTTATTTCTATTTCAACTTGTATTCGTTGTTCGAACATATTAATTATTTGATATCCCTTGGGTTTGGGCCTGAGCCTGATCAACCCGTGTCTCGGATCCGAGGGGTATCGCAGGGAAGATTGCTACCCTAAGTAGGCTGATTTCTCGAGCAACTGACAGATGTTTACCTTTCTTCTGTACCCTCAAAAAAGCATTTGAATGGACACCAGAATGTGAGCAGGCGTTTCTACAATTCAAGGAATACCTTTCCTCACCACCACTTCTATCAAGAGCAATACTAGGAGAGGACTTGTATTTATATTTGGCTGTCTCCTTATCAGTAGTAAGTTTGGCACTAATGCGAGAGAAAGGTGGGGTTCAGAAGTCGGTGTATTACACAAGTCGGGCACTTAGGGGTGCCGAGGAAAGATATCCGAAAATAGAGAAATTAGCATTTGCCTTAGTCGTGTCAGCTAGGAAACTCAGGCCTTATTTCCAAACTCACAAGATAGTAGTACTAATGGACCAACTTCAAAGGCAGGTTCTCCACAAGCCAGAGACTTCAGGTCGACTTATGAAGTGGTTAATAGAACTCGGGGAGTTTGACATCCAATACAGACCCCGAACTGTAATAAAAGCTCAGGTGATAGCAGATTTTGTTGCTGAGTTCACACCTTCCCAAGAAGACCTGATCAACATTTCCCCAGAAGCAAACCCTCAGATTCAAATAGACAAAAAAGCTACTTGGACTCTTTTTGTTGATGGGTCATCAAATGCACATGTTAGTGGAGCAGGGTTGATCATCACCTCCCCAACACGAGAAAACATTGCCTATGCCCTTCAGTTTGGCTTCAAAGCAACAAACAATGAAGCAGAATATAAGACCCTCATAGTTGGGTTAAGACTGGCAGAAGTCCTCGGGGTGGAGCAGCTCATAGCATACACAGATTCTCAGTTGATAGCAGGGCAAGTCCGAGCAGAATATGAAGCCAAAGATGAGAAAATGAAGGCCTACCTAAAAAAGGTAGAAGAATTAAAAAATCATTTTACGAGATTTTCAGCCCATCAGATCCCATGTGAAAAAAATGCGAATGTAGATGCTCTAGCTAGATTGGCTACCGCGTTAGATCCAGAGGTGAATAGGGCAATACCATTAGAGTACCTGGATAAGCCGAGTACACTTTAAGAAGTTCAAAAGAACGTACAACAGTTAGTGCTCAACATGGGATGGGCAGAGCCTATCATAAAATACATTAAGGAGGGAGAACTTCCTGAAGATAGAAATGAGGCCTGAAAAGTTAAAATTCGACCAGCAAGGTACACCTTCATCAAAGGGGTGTTGTACAAGAGGGGCTTTTCTTTACCCTACCTGCGTTGCGTCTCAGCTGAGGAGGCAAGGTACATTCTAAAGGAGATACACGAAGGAGATTGTGGTAATCACGCCGGGGGCAGGTCTTTAGCATACAAAGCTATCCGACAAGGGTATTATTGGCCTACTATGCAAAAGGATGCTATGGACTATATGAAAAAATGTGATAAATGTCAACGGTTTGCCAATGTTCCAAAATAACCACCTGAAGAGCTGACTCCCATGACGGGTCCATGGCCTTTTACACAACGGGGAATGGACTTTATAGGTCCATTGCCCATGGGAAAGGGCCAAGTCTAGTATGCCATTGTGACTATAGACTACTTTACCAAGTGGATATAAGCTGAGCCACTGGCAAGTATTACAGAGGTCAATCATTTGCAGCTTCGGAATCCCAATAGTGTTTGTCACAGATAATGGAAAACAATTTGATTGCACAAAGTTTAAGGATTTTTGTGCTCAACTAGGGATAAAGAACCATTATTCATCACCTAGACATCCTCAAGCAAATGGACAGGCTGAGGTGGCAAACAGATCGATACTTCAGATGATAAAGAAGAAACATAAGGATAAGAAGGGAACATCGCCTAAAGAATTGCCTAGCGTGTTGTGGGCTTACCGTACAATTGCAAGAACTCCCACAGGGGAAACACCATTCCTACTGGCCTTTGGAAGTGAAGCAGTTGTTCCTGCTGAAGTCGGTGTAACCAGTTTCAGGACTGAGCATTACGAGCCACGAGCAAATGAGAGAGAATTACTATTAAGCTTAGACCTGATTGAGGAAAAAAGGGAGTAAGCTCAGATTCGAACGGTAACATATCAACAAATAGTGTCTAGATACTATAATGCCAAGGTCAAGCCAAGAAGATTTCAACTTGGAGACTTGGTACTTCTCAAAGTCACCCCAGCAACCAAAACCCGAGGGGAAGGGAAGTTGTCCGCTAATTAGGAAGGACTTTACAAGGTTATTAGCACCAACAGACCGGGGGCATACTAGCTTGAAACTTTGGGAGGGCATCAACATACCTAAAAATAAAAAAATGGAGGGGTTCAAAGGCACTGTTTATTAAAACGTTAGCTAAGTTAAGGTCCAATCCCTATTACACATTGCATTGTCTCTTGCAATTCGTCATAAAGGTCACTGTTAGTTATGGTTAATAATAATGTATCAACAAGATTAACTCCTACATATGTGTTAAAGTTCATTCCTAATCAAATATGCGCCAGGTCATATTTAGGAATTAGCTATTTATGTGTTTGGAAAGTTATGTAATCAAATATGATACTTTTTATACATATTTAATTCATATTATGACCTGACAGTAGAGCAGTCACGTACACACATAGCTAATTCCTAAATATGTGTTTGGAAAGTTAATTCCTAAATATGTGTTGGAAAAATTAATTTTGTTTTGAACTTTCCTCTCTCGCACACACATATAATAAAAATAATAATGATAGAAGGCAAAATAAAATTCTAGGCGCTTACCATCTTTCTGGAATTAATAAGATTAAAATTTCCATAAATAAATTATATATATATATATATATATATATATATATATATATACAGTATGTACCGTCTTTTGTACAGGATGGTTCAAAGGCAGGTTTGGGACCCAAACCATGAACAAACAAGGCCTGGTCAGTTACCAACAGGGAAAAATTTAACACTCCATGGTCAACGGCATTCTACACTTTTTCGAGGTCGTGAGATGAAGCATCAGGCACAAATTTGAAGTCTAAAAAATTAATAGATAAAGATCGAAAGCAACTAAAAAATCGTCAACAAAAATAAATTACCGAACTTACCAGAGGAGTTTGGGTCGCCCCATACACGAGGAATAGATTTTTCTCCTCTGAAAAAAAGAATCTCATGGGGAGAAAATTTCCAATCGTCACCAGAAACATAAAAGAAAGGGTTTTTCCATTTTTTGTTGTTGGATGGTTTTCCAGTAATAAGTTCATTCTTCTTATCCCGGATTAAAAAATACCACCAATCACCCATCCTCTTAGGCAAGTAACAATGGAGGAATTGGGCGACTATGAGCGAGTCGTTGCCACAAGTTTGCCAATGAACCATGCAGCCAAACATTGCTCTCCAGGCATTTGGTACAAGTTGAGTGGGGGCAAGATTAAGATGGTTAAGAATCTCTTTCATAATGGTAGTGTAGGTGCAGAATTTTGCTCAACCAATAATGATTGAGAAAAATAAAACAACTCACTCAACAAATAATGAAAATAAACAAGAACAGTATATCGAGAAGCGTAGAATTGCTTGATCGCTTTATTGGAGGTCTTAGCCTCTATTTATATACAAAAGATTGCAAAATTATGGTAGGACTCGCGTTGCTTGCCCTCCAATTCTTTCTATATAAACATTCTTTTCTAATAGAGTTCTTTCCATTATCGAATTTTCCATACATAGAACTTGCCTTGTACAGAACTTCCTACCTCAGAGTTTTCCTTCTACAATAAATCCTTCAACTGGTAGGACTTGTGCATTCTTGAATAACTGGGCTGAATATATTTTGATCCGGCTGGGCTTGAGTAATAGGCCGGATGTTAAATATTCATAAGCTGGGCTGATGACTTCTTGATTCGGCCTTGATGGAAGTTGGAGGACAAATAACAATGGTCTTGGGCTATAAATACCCTCAATTTGGGCTTGAGCATGATGGGCCTTATATGTCCTTGGAATGTAGATATGGGTAGTGGTGACGTGTGCGCTTTTTATTGGAGGGAGTTTTTTTCCCTCCACACTTTGCCCCAAATTTCGTTTTTAATTGAGCGACGGCTCCTATTAAAGAGGGAATTGAAACCGGTTTTTTACTTTGCTTCAGAAACGGTTTGAGGTCTTTCATTATTACTCCGTCATACAAGATTTTGCAAGAGTTACATTTGCCCTTGCTGCACTTCTGCGTTCTTCATTCCATCACTTTGTCAGGTTAGTCTCGCATCTTTCTCTTCAATCTTTCATTATGAGTACTTCATCTACTCCCGAACGTATAGACCTTGGGGATTCTGAATCCACACCTTTATCTTCCCCCGTTCGCATTAGAGCTCCCCCTCCTAGGGTTTCTACAGATCGCCCTTTGTTGAATCCATTAGGTACTTCCCCTCTTCCAACCGAGACATCCACCTCAGGCTCTGATTATGTTCTTACTCATGAAGAGAAGAAAGCAATCATCTCTATTCGCCGCATCAAGTTCTCTATTGCTTCGGTAATGGAAGAATTTGATATTCCTGAGGGAGTAGAAATTGCAGAATATCCCGAGGGTGCCGATTTTACCTCCGGCGAGGGAATTGAGGAGGATGAGTTACTTCTTTCGGTGGGGCATCTTAACGCCCTCCGATTCCCTCTTCATCCCTTCTATCATTTAGTTTTCAATAAGTTGGGTCTTGCCCCCCTTCAGGTAAATCCTAATTTCTTTCGCATCCTTTCGGCACTGTTGGTGCGCCGGAAATTAGAGGCTCTGGATTTGACCCTTGCCGACCTTCTGCTTACTTACAATATATCTAAGCATGGGACCGAGCCTGGTCGCTTCTTTTTTACCTCTCCCCTTCATCAAAGGATATGCACGAACCTTCCTTCATCCGAAAAGAAGTGGAAAGAAAGGATGGTTATAGTTAAAGGAAAATGGTTCGTGCCCCAATCAATTACGCTTCCCATCCCGCGCAAGTTCGGGAAATTAGGTATAGAATACTTAACCTCCCTTCATACCAAGTGTTCTGGCTGTTTTCCTTGCCAAATCTTAATGTTTCGCCGTACTTATGAGTTTCTTGGTGTTTTTTCAGCTACTTTCCCATCCTCCGCAGCAAGGAACAGACTTTCTTTTCTTGAGGAACGAGTCTGGAGTGACACCTCGCCTATCGAGGACCTGCTAACTTCTTCAAACCTCAAGGATATTGCCTCCAGTGCTGTTGCTGCAGACCTCATGGATCTGTCTCTACCATCCTTTGACAGTTTCCCCATGACTGAGGAGGAGATACGGAGGGCTGAGGCTTTAAAAAAGAAAGCCGAAGATGCCCAACCCTTGGTTGTTATTAGATCAACTGAGGATGAGGTGGAGGTTGAGGAACCACCAATGAAGAAATCTCACCTCAACCCCTCATCCTCTGGCAAGGGCAAAGTCCCCTCTAAGAGAAGAGGGAAAAAAGCTGGAGAGGCCGAACCTGAAGATGAAGTCAGGGCCTTTGTTCTGGCTGAGACTGGGGCTCCTTGGACTGCTTCCTTCACCAGGGCTGACAGGTCAGTCCTGCACTCAGGGGATTCTGTGATTACAGACCCTTCGGCTGCACTGGCGGTGGCTCGAGGAATGTGGCTCCCAAAGGACGAGAAAGCCATCAGCCAAATGGGGTTGGAACAACTACTCCCCTCTGCCCCGGTCCGGGCCATAGAGGTTCGCATTGCTCCTTCAGAATTATGTTACTCTTGCTTGCTTATGTTTCTACTTATGCTTATATTTGCTCTCCTGTTAAACAGAGTCTATACCACACCATGGCCCTCTGCGCCACTGTTGAAGCTCAATCCCTCTCCATCAAGAAGCTGGAAAAAGATCTTGACAACGCAGAGAAGAGAGCCACTACTGCCTCTACTAATCTGAAGATAGCTTCTGAAGCCAAGGATGCGTATAAGAGGCAGTTGTTAGCTTCCGAGGCTAAGGTGGATTCTCTTCAGGCAGAAGTTCAACGCCTGACCGAGGCTCTTACTACTTGCTTCAAGGCGGGGAAGCAAATGCAGGGGCGCTACTCCTGTCTGGCACACCTGGCTAGTGCTAAAGCATTCCGGTCTGGCTAGTGCTAAGACGATGGAT